GGTGATCCTAGAGCTAAATTACCATGAGGTATTCTTAGCAATATTTGTTCAAAGGGGGTTCACCTTTGTTTTCCTTTGAGGCTGAGAGAGTGTGACTTACCCAAAGTCACCCAGTGAGTTTTCATGGCAGGGTGGGGATTTAGACCCTGGTTTCTAAAATCATAGTCCAACACTCAGACCATTACATCACATTGGTTGTCATTGAAGCATTTGCCATTTGTAAATGTATTTTAGAAGGATCCCATTTATCTTTATCTTTCCATGCTGTGGAGGCAGCTCTTCTTAAATTTTTCCACTCACAAGCCCTTTCAATCAAAAAAATATGTATTTGACTCCAGATATATGAAATAGACATAAAATCAAATATGTATTGGTAAATCAACATTTGTAAGGTTTGTTACACAGGCTGATTTTCCTTTTTATTAAAAACAGCTAAAGCATGTTTTGCAGAGCCCACTGTAAACACTGCACTACAGATTTGTGTAAGTGTCTCAAACAGCCACTAGGTGACATTTTTTTGTCACCATAACATTGAGCTAAGTGGACTCCATTTAGGGTCAGAACCCACAGGTTGAGAAGCATTACTGTAAAGGAATTGTAACTGTAGTGGGTGGGTTGTGATTCCAGTGCTCTGCATAATTGAGAACTTTGTTTATAGTAATAGTAATTTACCAATGTTGGTGGCATAAAAGGGGTTCTTGAGGGTTGCTGTGAGTTTTCTGGGCTGTATGGGCATGTTCCAGAAGCATTCTCTCCTGAGGGATTTTTTTTAAAGTGTGGTTTTGACCTATATCACCACTAAACCAGTGATTCCCAATCTTCCTAATGCCGCAACACCTTAAAACATTTCCTCATGTTGTGGTGACCCCCAACCATAAAATTATTTTGTTGCTACTTCATAACTGTAATTTTGCTACTGTTATGAATCATAATGTAAATATCTGATATGCAGGATGTATTTGCATTCACTGGACCAAATTTGGCACCAATACCCATTATGCCCAAATTTGAATAGTGGTGGGGTTGGGGGGAATTGATTTTGTCATTTGGGAGTAGTAGTTGCTGGGACTAATAGTTAACCTATAATCAAAGAGCATTTTGAACTCCACCAATAAGGGAATTGAACCAAACTTGGCACACAGAATTCCCATGACCAACAGAAAATACTGGAAGGGATTGGTGGGTATTGACCTTGAGTTTTGGAGTAGGTTACCTACATCCAGAGATTCCAATAATGATGGGTTGGACCAAACTTAGCATGAATGCTAAATATGCCAAAATGTGAACCCTGGTGGAGTTTAGGGAAACTAGACCTTGACATTTGGGAGTTGTAGTTGTTGGGATTTATAGTTCACCTACAATCAAAGAGCATTCTAATCTCAGCCCACAATGGATCTGCATCAAATTTGGCATACTACCTACATGGCCAACATTGCATACTGGTGATGTAGGGGGGAGCTATTTTTTTAAATTTTGGAGTTGTAGTTCACCAACACTCAGAGAATACTCTGTACCAAACTGGTGATGGAACTAGTAACCTTGCCACACAGAACTTGTCTCAGAAACAGCCCTCCCTAGGCCAGCCAATCACAGTGGAAGAGGGCTTTTGGTGAGAGGATTTGCTGTCTGCTTCCAAAAAGGAAGAGAAGGTCAGGTGGAGAGATCTTCAGCTTTCTCTGCCAAATGTGCATCTAAGACCATCAGAAATATGTGTTTTCTGATGGTCCCTGAAACCCCCTCGCAACTCCCCCAGAGGTCCGAACTCCCAGGTTGAGAAACGCTGCACTAGCCTTTTTGAATTTTCAGACAGAAAATTTTGATTCATAATTCATAATTCATAATTCATAATTTGCTTTTGATTCATAATCCAGCCATACTCCATGCCAGCCTGAGAGCATTCAGTATCTAAAGGGACTTGTTATTCCTAGAATTCTGCTTTGGCATTGAGTGGACAACTGTTTGAAGTTCTTAGCGCTTCCTAATAAACCAGAGCTCATAGTTTTATGTCTGTGTTTGTTTACAATGCAGTTGTAAGAATGACTAAGATCATAAATGTGAACTGTTCTTAGTATTAGAATGTCCTGTTGGGTAGTTTTAAATTCTTAAAAAACAAATCAGAGTTAAATTATGAGGACAGTTTCATGCCATCCTAGCTGTTTTCCTGTGTGAACCATTCTCGATCATTTTGCTAGTTCAATGTATTTGATCGGGGAACTCCATTTCAGTGCAGGCAGCAGTGTTTGGATGACCTCAGACTTTAGGACACAGTTTTAAAAAGCTTTGCCGATATCACCAGTGCTGTATTGAGATGGAAGACGCTTTACAATCTGAGAAGCCCCTATATATTAGCTGAACTGTTTACTTGTCATCCACTCAACTAAAGCTTTCCTGGCAGAGGAATTGTGTTCCAATTTCTTGTGGGTACTTAAGTGTCTTGAGAGCTTATCACTAAGCCTTTGTTCTCTCTTGGTGTATCTTTAGGCTGTGTTGTGTTCAAAGGCAAACCGTATTGTCTTATTGCCACTGGTCCAGATTTCTCTGTGTGAATATTTTGAACATAAATGCAATTCTTAACTCAAGTAATTATTTAGCACCTTCTTGTTTTATTACAAGAAGTGTTATGATTGTGTTGTAAACAGTGTATCTGATAAAGCAGATGGCATCCTCGAATGCCCAAGAAGACCAGGAAAGCGACTGAGTAAAGAATTAATGTAATTAGCCCTGTGAATAAGCTTTAGAAGGCAAATCCCCTTTAACCTCTGTGATAAAACATATGCTGTGTCAAATCCTTGGATTATTAGTCATACAAAACAGTCCTTACATCTGCTCTGGCATAGAGTAAAAGTAATTTAGTTAATTGGCAGATGCACCATGCCACAATTCTAGCAATAAAGCTACTTTCATAGAGTTCAGTTTTTGACAATAGAATTATGTTTCCTGACGTAGTTTCAGCATGCAGCAGAATGTGGTGGTAAGCAGTGAGCCAATTTCAAAAGTCTATAGGTATAATAGAAGAAGTGTTATTTAACAGAGAAAAGAGGTATAAACTCACCCTTCTCTCTGCTCAACTACAAAGTAATGCTGCTTCATTTTACAGGAATCATTTAAAAATCTGTTCCTTATGTCCATTTTGTTTCACAGGATTCTTGTCATCTTATTTTGCTGCATATGCATTCTTCTGTTGTTCTGTAAAATAGAGAACAGGGCTTGGTTTCCATTATGGATTTAGAGCAGTGGAAAAGGCTGGCATGCCAAGGAAAAAGCTGGATAGGAATAGTTAAATTTTTTTGAAATAGCAATAAAAAAGAGTCAATATCTTTGTCTCAGATGAAGTTGAAAATCACTAAGTTAATAGTAATGCAGTGTGTTCTGTTTCAATACTAAATAAAATTTGTCCATGACACACAAACCACATGACACACAAACTTTTGTCATAATGAAAATCTAGTTTTAATATGGATTAAAACTGAATCCATTTCAATTTTGCTTGACAAGTATGTCTAAAATTAAAAGCACTCTGAATCTTAGATTTGGCTAGATTTTCAGAAAATCTGTGTCCTTCATCAATCCCTTTGCGGAATATAAAACTTAAAAAAAATACTTTTCTTCAAAACCCTTTGATCTTCAATGCTTCAAAACAATAGATGCTAACAATAATTACAGCAAAATCCACACTCATAATTACTGTTCACTCTGATGCTACCCAAGTGATAGCAGGAGCCTGAAAAACTTCTGGCTTTCCCCTTGTAATGATTTTTTTTTAATCTTTTCTGCAATTTTTCAAACTCTACAATGCCCTGTTTAAACTGGATAGATGGAATCCAAGACAATCCATGCCATAGCTATGGATTCCTAGTGGTGGATTAGATTAATTTTTGAATCTCTTCAACCTCTAGGAGTCTGTAGGTTTTATAGATTCATGCAATGGAATGCTACTGTCACCAATTGCAGCCTCCTAATTAAAGTAATCCCATAGGATTGCTGTTAGGGAGCCTGTTTATTCATGCATTTTGACTGTTGCTGTGGTTTTTAGAAGGAAGTATCTACTAGCTATAATGCAGAGGACCATGGGATGGGAAGTGTAATGATCTGCATTGGATATTTTGGAAAACTAGAATCTCAATAACCTTTTAGAGAATAATAGCATGCACAGCCATTTGAAAATCATACCCTTTTGTAAAAGTAGGATATTCCAGAGAAGAACCAAAAAACTTGTTCAAGTAAAATCTTCTCTTCAGTGGTATATAACCATATGTACTTATGTAAAGCAATTTGGTTTCCAGCTGTTAGACTGATAACCTACTTGTCTCTGATCTATTAGGAACAGAGATTATGCCAATGCACAGAACAGCAGAGTGTTAGAACTGCTTTTTTTCAATGCCCAAAAACATCTACCTCCCATAAGATATCTTGTTTCTATATCATGCTATCAAGACACAAAAACAAAGTAGACTCCATTAAAAGTGACATATTTGGTTTACTCACAACCTTCATGTATTCAGCATACAGGTACATAACTTGTCAATCCACCCCCAGATGGATTTGAAGTGGTTTCTCTGATCAGATAACTGAGGGCATCTTTTTTACAATAAACAGCAACATGAGTTTGTTCTCAACAATCCAAAGTCTAATGGCATTTTTCTCTAAAATGGAGTCTGAGCAGTCTCAGATCTGATCAAGAAACATAGAGTAAAGGGAAAGCTGCATACCAAAACATACATATACAAAACAGACATAAGCAAGCAGAATCATATACAAAACAAATTACTAGTGGAGGCTTGAAGAAGGTTTCTATTTCCAACAAGATATGTTGGCTTGTTCCTGAAACTTGTCAACATAGCAGTTGACATTTAGAGAAAAGCATTACAACAAAATAGGTGAAATGAGGGCCATTGTTTTGATTAGCACTGAAGCAATGTTTAAAGGAATGCTTTTACAAAATACTTTAAGATTACAGTATTTCTAAACTCTGAGGATGGTTTTTTTTTTCTTATTTTCAGATCTTATTAAAAAACTGGCACAGCAATCATTTGGAAGTAAGCCGGGTGATTACCAAAAGGTAACTTTTCTATTTTTACTCATGGTATTGGTAAATGTGCAGTTGCATGTTTATGTATGTATGCAGATTTTAATTTTAAACTGATAACAGAGCTATCATTCATGCATTTTCTTTTTAAATATCATGAATGAAAAGTTTCCAGGGGACTTGATGTTTACATAGCTACGATGTCTGTGTCTTCTGTATTGGGCCTCTGATGTTGGTTCCAGTGTGTTAATGATTCATTCCATTCCCAATTCCGAAAACTCTCTTTACACATTTCCTTTCACATTTTGAGATACATCTCTGAGGTAGCACATTCCGTATAGAAGTGAGAGTGTGTGTTTACATGGGTCAGATGGGCTTCACTGACCTTCAAGTGGTTCTTCTTGAGAAGACAAGAAACCGTAGATAAATGTCCTTGAGATAAATCCTGGCTTCTACTTTCTCTACCTCCCCCATAATCAGTGACCACAAGGGTCTGCTAGGTGTGCTTTGGGGTGCACAATATAGGTTATAGATGAATCGGTGCAGATTGGTATAGATGGATGGTGTTTTGGACTTCAACTTCCACAATTCCTAACAGCCTACTGGCTGTTGGGAATTGTGGGAGTTGAAGTCCAAAATACCTGGAGGGCCAAAGTTTGTCTATGCATGGTTTGGAGGGTTGTAAGGCTTACGAAGAGGTATTCCAAAAGTTGTCAGATATCTGGTCTTTGACAAATTGTTTTCCATAGGCTGAAAAATTTTATGAATCTCTGAAGCACAGTAAATGGAAACACTTATAAAACATTCACATTCCATGAACTTGAAATCCTAATGCCTTTTAAATATTTAACTTATTTTAAAATGAACCAATATTGTTTTTGCCCTTCCCTTTCATTACATGTTGCTTTATGTTACCTCTGTTTTTAATTCATCTTAATTCATGTACAGAGAAATAAAGAAGGAATAAAGAGTCTCGAGGCACCTTAAAACAGGAAGGGAAGCTGGAGTTTTGAGGCTCCAGCTAGCTATACTCCCTTCTCCATGATGCTACTGTGTAGTAACTTGCTTGTTATTGTATACACACACATCCCTCCCCAGCCCTACTAATTCTAAAAAGATTATAATGCTTCTGCTTAGGCTTAGGTAGAGTCACTACCTAAAACTAGTATTTATTGATTCAATTTTTTAAATCTGTCCATTGCTGGAAAGCAGACCTTGAGAACATCTTTGATACAGAATTCAGCCTCAGAATGAAATCGATTCTACACACACCTGCCTTAAAGATTGACAAGTTTTATTTGACATACGATTTTATGGCTGTAATTGTAGCTAGTTGCTGCATAAATGCACATGCCAAATGAAATATTTCATCTTTGGTGCATTTTCTAATATAGTTGTCATCCTGGGCATTTCTGCAGTTTGGAGATGAGATTTGCTTGCTGAGGTGTCAAAAAGCAACTAGAAACCTTTATTTATGGTCATGATTCTGAAGCAAACAAGGACCTCCTGAGACTTGTGTCATAGCGATGCTTCCTTGAAATTCTAGATGAGTGTTCTCCAAAGAACAAGTTAGTTGCACAAGACAAAGCTGGTAATACAGTAGGGAGAGAAATTTTCTCCTTTCCCCTTCAGGGTTTTTAAGCACAAGGACTGCAATCAGGATGTTTGAATCAATTTCAGAATGTATTCATACATAGTGTAAATGTTGACCACTTCCAAAAATCTGTTCTAGCCTTCCCCAATCAGATAAGTTCTTAATATTTTGGATAATTTCTGCCACCATCACCAGACATCAGGTTTTTTAAAATCTGGGAGAACCTTGTAAGACTGTCCTTGGCCAAGAATAGACAATCTACTCCGGTTTTGGGAAAGTTAGCCTGTGGCCTTGGACAGGGAGGAACCAGAGAACAAAACAACCTGCATCTTATGAAATTCTGACAAGTCTGCAGTCTTACTTCTAAAACTCCCAAGCCTCTAAATGTAACAGAAGGGAAATCAGATAGCAATTGACAGAGCTCTTGGAAACATCAGTACAGAGATGGGATTTTCCTAATTTGGTTCTGCCTGTAAGAATTCAAGCAGGAATTCTCACTCCTTAACCACCTCTGCTTATATGAAATAATTTCTTCCTTCTTGCCTAGTTTAAGCACTGACAATGAAAGGAGGAAATCCTCATAGAATGTGAGAAGGGGAGGAGTAACAAGGCCCCTTTAAGGCCCATTTGTAACATCTAAACCTGTGCCACATTTGCAGAATGTATCACCAAACCAATCCTGTAATACTCCCTTTATTACTCCTCTTCTCAATGGAACTACATCTTTTCAGACAAGCAGAAGCTTGTTTTCAGGTAGCCTAAGAGTAAGTGTACTGTAGGGAAGAGCAATAAACAATTTAGGTCTGTCCTCAGGGGAGGGAAGACTCCGCTTTACTGCAACATGTGTAAGTAATTCTTTCAGGGAGTTAAAAACAAGGCCTGATTCATAACCCTTTTTGACACATCTGCTTCAGTTCAATACCTCAAGGAGCTCAACTCCCTGGATGGTGTGCATCTTCAAAGTTGGTATACATTTAAGCAGAGTGATGTTCTGTATAGTCTTTAAGGTTATAAACATCTTTCATTTGCAGTTATTCTTTCCCAGCTAATATGGTTTGCACTGAAAGTTTTAGTGGCAAATATTGTATTAAATACAAAAAATGTAGGAACTGGTGAAATCTCTTTACAGGTTGATTTTTTTCCTCCCTTGTCAGGATTGAGGAAAAAATGTACAGAAAATAGAAGTAGCTAGGGCATTTAAGTTTAGCAAAATTGAAAGGTACCTCTGGAACTAATTGAACTGTGTGTCTTGTCAATAGTTGATGTACATAATTGTTTGCTGTCCTTATCAGTTATTTTGGTTTTGTGGCATCATAAAAACTGGCTGCTTTTACTTATTGCTCACCTGCCTTCTTTTTATGCATGCTGCCTGTGCACCACACACACTTTCCATCTGCCTTGACTTCCACAGCCAGAAAATGTTGTCCTGACTTTGCAGGTAAAACTTATTGTTGCATCTGATGCACACTATTTGGATAGCTTTACTAACTAACCAATAACCGCATACTGAAATTGCAGTTCCTTTGTTATGACTACATATGGCGATGATTTATTTTAAAATGTTTAGTTGCATTGCTTAAATACTCATTAATTTAGTTTGTTACAACCAGTTCTTTGTGATTTTTAAAGAAAAACCTATCTTCTAATGTCCAACAAAAATATTTAGTTTTGCTTAAAACTGTAATTAGGTCACTTGATGCAAATGACTATATTTCATTTGTTTGTACTCGGAGCTATTTTCATTGAGGAATTGGTGGGATTTTGAAGCAGATTCACTGAGAGCAGAATTAGAGCATGATGAGATGTAGCTGGTGAGACACACTGGCTTGTAACTGGCCTTGGAGGCAGATGCCTGATAGCTGTTCTCCCTCTACGTTGGTAATAGGCTGGTATTTACAGACGGGGAGTAGCAGTGGTGGAGAAGCCAAGCAACATATGGAATTTGTTGTTTTTCAAGTTAGATGGTTACAGAAAAGTACCCAGTAGACTTGGAAGGCAAATTGGGTACTGAAATGTCTAACTACTTCTTAGCATTCTCAGTGTGCCTTGCTATATATGTGTATGCTTTCATACACACTGTATCCTGCTGGTGTTTCTTTTCTTTGTTTGAGGAAACTAGTAACAGCTGGAAAAACTGTGGTCTCTTTCCCACTGTGTAGTTATAACACTTCAATGCTATCTGAACCACCATGGCTATATCGTGGAGATTGTAGTTCTTTGAGTTTTTAGAATTCTCTTCCACGGAGTTCTGGTGCCCTCTTAAACTTATAAACCCTAGTATTCCTTCAAATGTAACCATGGCAATTCAGGTCAGAATCAAAGTCATACCATTGTGTTGTGTGAAACAGACCTAAGTGTCTTGTCTAGTTCACCCCCTTGTTCCCAACTGTTGCCAGCCAGGAGCTTCCATGAAGTCTATAGCAAGAGCTGCATTCTGATAGTCTTCATTGCTGAACAATGAGCATATGGGACATGTTGACTCAAAAGGTTTCTTTGATTATATTGCCTTTGTAGTCACTGATAAACCCATAATCCCTAACAACAACAACAACAACAACAACTTTATACCCCACCACCATCTCCCCAAGGGGATTTGGAGCGGCTTACATGAGGCCAAGCCCAGCAATACAGTAAAACAATATAACACAAGAACACAGCAGAAAATAAGAAAAATAAAATAAAATACAAAAACCAATATAAGTAAACATATCAGACAATATAAAATCAGAACATTAGAACCCAGAAAATTTGATCACAAGGGAAGGGCCATTTACAAGAGACTAACATTTAAAAACACTGGGTGAGAGAGCAATGTAATGTATCAGGACAGGGAATCCGGGGAACAAAGTAGGCTTAATTCTTTTGTTGGAAGCAATGTGATCCAGTGGTTATCACTGTACCTTGTAATGCCAAATTGCATAAACAAGTTAACATTGGTCTTAACTTCTTCCTAGCTGATCTCATTTATTCAGGCCAGAATTACATACACTGCTGTTTTATTGTAGGGAATCCAGTTATTTTTCATCATGGTTGCATTTCTAGTGCAGAGAGCTATTTTTCTCTGTATGTCAGAGATGGGCAACTGTGGTCTTCCAGATGTACTCGGTGTACAGTTCCCATCTGCTCTAGCCACAGGGTGAGGAATTATGTGAACCGCAGTCTGCAAGTGTCTGGAGGGCCACTGTTGCCTACTATTGATCTGCTTATAGGCCTTTTACACCTTGTGTGAAAGAAGTAGTATAGTTCTTGTTATTTCTGTAGTTGCTCTCACACTCCATCAGATATAGATTAGGGTGTGCAGCAATATCTGTGCTAGTTCAGGACAGGTAAAGTGCTTGAAATGCATCCATTGGTGTAATTGTAAATTCAGGGTGGACTGTCGTAATAGTCCATGGTTCTCTGCTAGAGCCCTTTTTCTTAGTGGAGCACATTCTCCCAGAATGTTTACTAAGCAGCACTGGGTACATATGTTACAAGGATTTGCTCCACATCATGCATAGGCTTCAATAAGAGAATATTTTAACATATTTTAAAAACAATGACATTGGCCCTCTGGTCACTGATGGAGATGGCATGTTGTCTTGGTACAAATAGAATATACAGTGGGCCCTTGGTATCCAGGACCCCATGTGGATAACAAAAAATCTGGATGCTGGAGTCTCTATTAATAGAATAGCATAGGACAGCAGTGGAAATGGTGACAAGCCCTGGCTTCCAAGTGTGCCACCAGGCATGTTTTCTTTGGGCTCTTCTGATTCCAAGGAGCACACCAGCTGCCTGCTTCTGCCTTCAAGGCAGCAGCTGTGGTTTTAAAGGAAAATGTTTATGTCCACTGGTTGCTTTTCATGTCGCCCAAGTGAAGAATAGTTCTCTTAGGAAAATGATTTGTTACACCAGTCATTCTCAAATTGTTCCCCCTTTGAGCTATCCTCCCAAGTAGGTAACTTTTCAAAATGTATTATTGAAAAATGCCTACTTAGCAGATCATACATTGCGGATCAACTGCTGTTTGTTTCTTCAACCCAGTGAGCCGGGAACAGTCCTATAATGGTCTAAAACCATCACAGCACCTGGTAGAAACTCAATCTGATGTCAGGCATCTCTTTTCCTCATTACACTTCAGGACAGTGAGCTAATGCAGACTCCATGGCATCAGCTATTTAACCTGCTACTCTTTGACTAATACTAACCTGAAAATTATAAAACCTTGTGCAGTATTTTGACTGAATTAGGGCTTTGGTATTTCTTGTACAGTGAAAATGGGTTCCTTTTGCTTTTTGTTGCTGCTGTTGTAAAACTGGAAGCACATTTTATGTTTGCACTGAAAATGTATTTTTCAAAACTACATTTTCTCAAAAGCTCCATTATGTTCCAATTAAAATGTGCTGCCCAGCATCCCACTTTCCAGCTTGTCCAGTCATCGTTCAGTATTGAGAATGTGCTTTCTGTGCAGAGGTGATGGTTATACCTGGGTTACTCCAGCCCAGTTTTCTGTAGGGTAGATAGCACTGGGAAATCCTGGTGCCTCCTTGCTCCTTCGCTTGGGATGGTACTATATTCCATGAATTGGCAGAGAAAGAGTGGGATCCATAGTGCATGCTGCCTCTCCACTCTGAGGACAAAGGGGTGGCATGTATCAGATATAGTGGCCTGATTTATCAAGTTATAAAAAAAGAGATTTGTTTAATTTAGAAGCTTTACCTGCAGTGTGTACTTCATTTGTAACTATAACACTTGCTCTTGCTGTTATCTCTGTCCAAATTGCAGGCCGTTTACTATGAAATTGGTTTTATAGTCTGTGCTGCTGTGGGGATACTGTTTGTTCTGTTGCTGCCTCTAGTGGGGCTCTGCTTCTGCATGTGCCGCTGCTGTGACAACTGTGGTGGGGAAATGCACCAGAGACAGAAGAAAAATGCGGACTGCCAGAGGGGCTGCTTTGCTACCGTTCTTTTTGTTGCTACTTTATTAATCAGGCAAGTATTGGCAAGGTGGGAGCAGTGATAACTTTGCTTTGCCACAGAGCTAAAGTAAGTTTGGTCCAGTTTATTATTTTATTGGGCTTTTCTGTTAGACTAGCAGTAATATAATTGAAGGCAGAGAAAACTTCTTGTGCTTGACTGAGCCATTCCATTTTATGTCCATAGTTCATTGTAAAATGATGCTGGAATAGCTGGCATTATTGTAAGATATTTCTAGTAGTCAGAATGTACCCCTACATACAGACAGGCAGCAGGTAGGGGAAATTGAAAGTTCAAATACAATACCATTCTGCACTTAGCAAAATTGTTTGAGAAGTTGATTATTCTAACAAGGGTGAATTTATGAGAAACTGGACACATATTCAATTCCTTATCTAAAATCTATAGTCTTCAGTAGTGGCATACGGAGCAAACAATACATCATGTGAAGCTCCTGATCATGCAGTTTAGCTCTTAAGATATTTCTCAAATTCAGTGCATACGTTTTTATTATTTCTGTATGTGTTCACTAACTCCCTTTATTAAACTCAAAAAATCCTTAATTTGCCTCCTATAGCTTTTTATGATCAAAGGGCCATTGCTTATCTATAGTTCATGTGTTTTGCTCTTAACAATGAACAAAATAAAATATTGCCATGCTTTTTGTTTATAAGCTGAAGTATGCTGGTTTTGTCATAATTGTTCTGTGACAATTTTCTGTATTCCAAAGAAACACTAACTCAATATAGATGTCTGTTGTGTTTCATACTTAATGTGATGAATTAAACTACTGTAATTTAGCAGTTCAGATGTCAATTCATTTAAAAGAGGACAGTAGAAAGTTGATTATGGTCTCTTGGTATACCACACAGCACTTTCAGATGGGCCATCTGGCAAAGCTCTTCAGTTGGATAATGTAAATCTGAATGGAGATGTAAAGAATGCTTACAAATTGTCTCTTCCTCAGTGAGAAATGGTTGGCCCCCATGGAATATTTTCATTTCAGGGATTTCTTTAAGAGGAGGGAAAAAGAAAGCTGCCACACAGCCACTACTGCACAGCCACCACCACACACCATCACCACACGCCCTCCCCCACACACTGCCTTCCCCTGGAAAGGAAGTAAGAAAAAGGAAAGGGAGAAAGAATGAAAGGGAGGTAGGAAAAAGAAGGAAGTAAAGTAGAAAAGTAAGAAAGAACCCTAACCCAAAGCTGTCTCCCTCCTTCTGTCTCTCCAATTCTCCTCTCCTCCTAGATCGCCTGCTTTCCTTTCTCTTGTCCAATTCCTTTTTTCAACAAACGATACTCTCAGTTCCCCCCTTAAGCTGAGAAGGCACTAATGGAAGATTTAGTACCTCTGATGTGTGCTCTGGAAAGGCAGGGGGTACTGCCTTGAACTCAATCCTGGTTTGGCCTGTGGCTTTGGGGGATTGAGAGTCACTGGCAACCCCAAGGGGCTCTTGTGTTCTTGAGAGCCCACATCCTCATTGTACATTTGCTCTGCCTCCATCTTCCAGTGCTGCTGAATCAAGGGGTACTTTTGGGTATGGTGGACCCTTAGGCAGCTGTTTTTGGGATGTGTAGGGTGCTTTTCTGTTAATGCATATGCACACATTTTCCACCACCACATGTCCCCTTCCACCTTCTTCCCCTGCCACCCCCTTCCCCTTGCTGCCCATCTCTGGGAGAAAAGGAAGAAAGGAGGGAAGGGGAAAGAAAAGAGAGAGAGAGAGAGAGAGAGAGGGATGAAGAAAGGATGGGAGGGAGAAAAGAAAGGAGGAAGAAAGAAAGGGAAGCAGGGAGGTCTGAAGACAGGAAGGAGGGAGAAAGGGAGAAATAAATAAATAAATGTAAGAAAAAAGAAGGGAGGGGGCAGAAAGAAAGATAAAAAAGAAAAAAGAGAGAAGGAAGGAGGAAGTGAGAAAAGGAAGAAAGAAAAGTTGGTAGGAAAAAGAGAAAAAAAGGAATTTAGAATTTAGTAAGCATGGTGTAGTGCTTTTAACCTCAAACTATAGCTCTGAACCCACTGGGTGACTTTAGGCAAGT